ACAGCCGGGCTAGAGCTCATTTCAATCATCCTCTCGTGAGCGCCGTCAAGCTGCGCAGACGCACTGAGGCCGAGTTTTCTGGTGCCTACAAAATAAAAGCCCTGTAGATTGTGGGCTCTTGCAGCCTGGACAGTCAACCTGCTGAAAGACTTTGACTTTGTTTGTAGATGAAACAGAGAAATGCACTCTGCTTTAACTCATGTACAGTTTCTAAACGTGCACACTAGTGCTGTGGAAGTGCAGGTTTTACGCTGGTTTAAGAACCAGAGCATTATACAAAGAAAAAAAACATTGTTTTCTGTTTTACAATAAAAACCCTAAATCTTTCAAACAATGTCCAAAATTAACAAGCAACTTCAAAACAAATAATATTCCTAAATGTGGTTTAAAAACTAACAACAAACATTTAAATCATGATAAATACCAGCTACTTTGGTCCTCCATATGTCCACCTTTGTTTTAATTTACTTCCATGAGCCTCACATAGAATCTGTGACTTTCTCAGTTAGTTCATGACTGAGTCCCATGTGCTGTTTCATGTAAATCTCACGTTTAAAGAGGACTTAAACTCACAATGGGATTTAAATCTGGTGAACAAGAGTAGTTGGCTGCCTGGGCCGGAGCAGTGTCCTGTGTAAATATCATGTGTTCCTGAATGCTGCAGACTATTTCTTGTACTGCTGCTTAAAGGAAGCGTCCTCCTCCAGCTCGCTGTCCACGAATCCAGCACAGGTCAAGAGCAACTCTCATTTCTGTCCAAAACGCCTTTGAACATCAATCTTTAGGTTTTTTTTTTGGTCCATTCTTGTCATTTTTGCTTGTGTTTTGAACCTAATATCGGCTTTGATTTAACTTTTCTCGCTTTACCAATGCCTCTGAGAACTCTGCACCTTGTGCTCCTGCAGATTCTACGCAGGTTGCAGTCCTGGAAGATGATGCACTTGAGGCTGAAGGCTTCATTCTTCACAGTTTTTTAATGCTAATTTGGGGCCTTTTCTCTAAAAGCATTTCAGGGACCCTGTTGACCTCCACTGATACCTGAGGACTTTGACCACTACAATCATCTTGCATAGCTCACAAAGTCATTGGAGACTTTCTGTCATGCCACTGTCTGAGCTTGTCTATTGTAGCAGCAGCAAAAACACACCTGACAGGACGTCATGCTCCCTGTAAGCCACGCCCATTTAGTCAAGTCCACCTGGAAGTGATTCCCTCCAGCTAATGCTGAGCCTGAACATGGTTTGACATCCTATTGACCAAACTACAGACTTGTCAGATTATCGTGTGTACACAGTCTTTCACAGTTTTTAAACTGACTTCTTAAATGGAGTAAAGATTGGGAAGCAGGTTGAAAAGGAAGTGGTTCAGCCCTCCAACCCTTGACCTTCTGCGACCTCAGCTTCTTCCTTCAACGCCTTCCTCCCTCCTTCCATCATGCCCACACTGCGCTCCTGGCTTTGCTTTATTTTGAAAGACGCCAGTCGGAGGCGGCGGTGTCCTCTGCGCTGCCTGACTTGCTCTCAGGTCCGCTCAGCTGCAGCAGTACAGACGAGAAACCATGGAGCGCAACAAGACGCGTTGGAGAGACTCACCGAGCGGACGGGACAAGTGCCAGTTTCAGATCTGTTTGTAAGTCACTTTGAGCTACACGGAGCGGATCTGGGAACAGCTGCAGGTGGACGCTGAGTTTTTTTCCAAGCGTGCGTAAATTGACTGGAGAGGTCTGGGAGAGAATAACGTTGGAGTGAGCAGCAGCGACCAAAGGCGCAAAGGAGTTGTAGAAGAGAAAGCGAGCGGCTGCTGGATGGAAATGATTTCTATCTTGTTCTTTCACACACATCTCGACAGTTCTGGGAACATGTCGTGTGCTGCGTAAAATCCCCGATTTTTATTTTTTTATTTTGTATTTTTTTAAAAGTGTCAGATGCCATTACAAGGAACAGTTACTTTTCTTTAGGAAACTGTGAGCGGAGCTGAGATTTCTGTGCAGAGGGAGGCGCTGAGCTTAAAGTGAGAAGCAGTCACCGAACCGTCAGGAGCCATGGTGAAGTTTCACAACTCAGACCTATGGATCGCCTGGATGGTCATTTTCTGCATGGAGGGTGAGTTGTATCTCTGAAACTTGTGACTCCAACTACAAGCGCTCACACTGCTTCATCATCATCAACAACAACAGCAACAATAATAATAATGATGATGGGAAGTTCAGGAGAAAAACGGCTTACAGATTTGGCATCACGTGAACAAATGGTTCTGACAATACGTCTGCATCAGTAATGCTAAAACAGATGTATGTGGAATTAAATTGTGCCACCGGCTCAACCTCTCCAAGAGCGCGTGCCACAGCCATTTGATCCCCTCCTTAATACTGTGTTTGGATCAGACAGAACAATCCGCATGTCCACAAAAAACATCAACTAAAGCACAGATTTAGGTTGACTTTTACGAGTCGCCATGTCGACTCTTCCCAGAGCGCTTCTGATTGTGCACATCTTCTGCGTTCTGCGCGTCTCACACAACACCAGGTCTACAATCTATAAATCTACAGATGTTTAACACCACGGTCCTGCCGGTGATATAAACGTGGTACCGTGGCCTGGTGGGAGTGCCGGTGATTTGAAATAGAAACGCAGCCGGCGGTGGGAGGGCTGCGCCGGTAATCCGTCCGATTAACAAGTGTGGTGAGCAGGCAGCACAGGAGAGGAGGCAACCCCGAAGGAAAACCAGCACATTTCTGTAGTTCTCCTGTGGGAATCAGACTTTGTGAGGAAACAGCACGTCTGGTGACCTCAGATACTCCTGAGTCCAGAGCTGCTGTCCGGCGGTGTTGTGATGCCAGTTCAGAGTCTGACACACTTCAGGCTGACCAACCTGGAATAAAAAGCTTCAGCCTGCAGGGAGCACAGTGCAAAACTTACAAAAAGATAGATAATAATTACAAAAGATTACTGGCTTCCATCACTAAATGAGTCTCATTTGTGGTTAAATGTTTTTATGCAAATGTGCTGTTGGATAAAGTTGGTTCAACACTTTGCTGTGACTGCAGCTGTTAGTTTAGATCAAATAATCCACAACTTTCCCTTCACATAATGTACAGCTGCTTAAGTGGTGGAGCAGAGCAGTGCAGGAGTGTCTGAATGTGGACCAGGTCCCCTCAGAGCCTCATCTCAGGACACAAAGCTTTTCCACTGAACCATACAGACACACTGGCCTGACATGTGACAGCTCGGACAGAGTGAGATTGAATCTGGCCCTGATTGGCCAGGTGTTTCACTCCGCTGCTCGCTCATTTAGCCCAACGCCTCTGCAGCGAGCGGCTGTGTGGCGTCTTGTCAGCTTCACTCAGGGTCACGCACGGCAAGAAAACAAGATCTGATTTTCTCCCAGTCCGTGTGTTTGTCTGGTAAAATGGTTCGAGATGAGAGCAGTGGATTGTGGTCACTCCTCCTTTTTTCCTCCCCAAAGTGATCACATGTCTCTGTGAGGCGGAGGGCCGTGGCTTCGCACTCAGTGAAGGTTTCAGTCCACATGACTGGAGGAGCAGAGTGAGCTCAGCAGCTCTATTAACAAGACAACTGGCTCTGGAGGAAGCTGCACTGGCTGGACAGTATTTCTTCTCTGCTCCTGTGTCTTAGTGCGGAGCTGCCAGTGTTGCTATAAATAAATTCTGATGCAGCAAAGTCGGTATTGATTGTGGTTGCTTGTTTTGGCTGTGTGTACTGACCTCCACTTTTTGCATGTCAGACATTGTCACTAGATTGATCAGATCAGTTCAGATCAATTGTTAGCGGACTCTTGATTGTTTTGGGTTGTGACACGATGAGACCAGACTTGTTTACCTCCATGTTCATTTCTGGCTTCACGTAAAAAAAAAAAAAAGTAGTTCCTGGCGTTAATGCAGCTGAGAAGAGAAGTGAAAAGAGGAAAGTTTGGAAAAACAGAAAACTGTCAGCGACAGATGGAAGTGTGTTGGACAGGCGTCAGTCACGGCCCGGTTGGTGGCAGGACCTCCGTACTCAGCGCTGTTAGAGGACATGTCACGGCCCTCTCAGCCTTCACATCCACATGAATATTGTATCTTCTCCTCTCAGCAAACGGGCGTCTTGCTGCTGCAGTGAAGACAAGTTGTGTAGTTCGGATCTGCAGCGCTGACAGCATTTGACCAAAGTGTCCAAAAGTGACAACAATGACCAGCAGAGGCTCTACGCTAATAAACTGATTGGTTCAGCTATCGTCACCCGCGGCAACACAACAGCAGAGCTGTTCACAATGCCCCGGTTCAGTGATCACCCAGAACAACCCTCCAGGGTGGGGCAGGGGCCGATCCGGGGGTTCAGTCAGTTCAGCAGATTAAATGGGAGCGGAGGTGGTGGCTCTGAACTTTTCAACCGCTTCTGTTTGTTTTGGTGTCTGCATAACGGATCTTATGGAACATTTTACATTTGCATACACAGAAAGGTCCGGATTAGCCTCCAGGCTTCCATCCCGCTGTCCGCATGTTTGGAATAAAGAGTCCAGTGTGAACAAAGAGCACTGGAGCGTAAAAAAATAAAAAGGACAACATGGAGGGTTTCTGAGCTCATTGACATTCAGGGCATTCGTGCTGCATCAAAGCTGAACTTAGACCAATTCTCTTCTCCTCTTCCTCTGTGAGCTTGTTAACCTTTGAGGCTCCCGGTGTGAAATTACACATCAAGCTGCTGTTTTGTATGTTGTGGTTGCTGATTTATTTTAGTTCAGTTTGTCTCTAAAGTAAGACTTCCACGTCGCCGTCGCGCCGGGTTCACATCACGGGTCAGAGTGGTTTTCTCAGGCAAAGACACTGACCCATGTCACACATTCACCCAATAAATCTGCATCTATTCTCAGAAACTGCAAATATATCAGAATGGACAGCAGGCGCAATAAAAAACACACGCAGAGCCGATCTATAAAACCATGTTTACTGGGATGTTTCTGTAGAACCTGCATTGTTTTACTGAGTTGGAATATTTATTTTTTTTATTATTTACTGAAAGAGAGAAGAGGTGGCACAGCCCAGCTCAGCACCTTTAACACGCTTCGTTTTAGTAACCACAGGTGATCTTGCACTGATTTTTTTTTTTTGGTAATGCAATGCAACTAGCGCCTAACTCAGAACACGCCTCTCCTCCTGCTAATGCAGAGTGCGTACGATTTAAAAAAACAAAAAAAAAAACCCCGTCTGTGTCAGTTTCATCTGATAAGTAGTGTTTTTTTTCCCCCCTCCTCTTTCCGCCTGCTGCTAAAAAGGAGCAGCTGGAACAAGAGTGTTGGACAGATGGAACTTTCCACCTCGATTATTTTTCTCACTAAAAATAGCCTCTCAAAAAATTAAAAGACCTCTGGGACCGCTTGCAAAGTGCATGTGCGTGTGTGCGTGCGTTTGAGCGACAGAGGCGCAGAGAACTTCAGACGACGTGGTCCTCAGATGATGGCAGCAGCGGCCATCCTGGGAGTGTAAATGAATAAATGATGGGCAGATATTTGGAGGAGAGAGAGCTCAGCGTTCGCCCGGTCCCTCGGTCTCTTAAGCACACATTAAACTGGGCCCCAAAGAGTCCACAGGCTGCTCTGCTGCACGGCAGTTGGCCAAGCATCTGGGGCAAACATCTGATGTGGTCAGCCCACAGAAGTCGGGAGGTTTGGATGTTTGGGGGCTTTGAGGTTTTGGATTTGGTTGTACCTTTAATCAGAGTGGCAAATGAGGGAGAACATGAGTAAATTATGAGCGTGTAGGGAGCAGGGTGACGGCGCTGTTGATGCGGCAGCGGAGCCGCTTGTGGTTTAACTGCATTTGGGTTAGATGACGAACGGTGGCGTTGGGAAACAGAGTGTCACTTATTAAAACTGAAGCTTGTTTGGAGGCAGTCGCTGCGCTTGTCAAACTGGCTTTCAGTTCAGGGTTTGTCATTTAAAACGTGTAATGTGGCAAACAGTTGCTTTGCTGCTGCTACATCAGTCTGCGCAGAGGAACTGTGAAGCTTTTATTTTACGACGTGAGACACTTCGCGAGTGAATGGAAGCCGTGCTGCAGTAATATGAGCAGGAACCAGTTTTATCTCTGTGCTTCAACCACAGGATCGATGCTCGCAGCAGCCAGATCTTCTCTCTGTGGATTAAGTGTGATAATTGCACTGTTGTGGAAGCTGATGTTAGTTAAGAATCTGCAAAAGGAAACTCTGCTTTAAAACTCAAGGGTGGAGTGAACCACTGTGGTCCTGTAACGTGCTCTGTATGTTTGGGTACAGAAGGATGATATCGATCAAAGAAATGAAAAAAATCCACGACTAGATCACAAAACATAATTGAATCTACACACTTTAAGGGTACATAAGAGTATCTTGGTCTGTAACACACTGTGACAGGTTGTTCAGATGGGAGGATCTTGTAATCTTGTAGCTTGATTTTCTGTGTGTGTGTGTGTGTGTGTGTGTGTGCGTGTGTGTGTGTGCGTGCGCATGTGGTGAGCCCTGGGCTTATACATATTTAAAGTGGATGTCTTCCTCGTGTCGTGGCACCCTGAAGATGCTCTCCCTGAAATGAGCAGTTTTGCTATGCTGGCTCTTGGCGTCTGACAGGGCCTTTGCTGACAGGACTTGAACATCACATCAGGAGATGTTGAGTACATGCAGATATGACATTAAGGTGACCACGTTCACTCTTACAAAACCCCAGAGGTTTGAACAGTGTCACATGGAGAGCTGAGCCTCTGCGGTCACAACATCTGCCATTTTAAACACACAGTTCTCGCTTGTGCTCAGTGATTGTTCCAGGAGCTCCGAACAAGCAAAGGAAGTGCAAAAAAAAAAAACTCTGTTGAATCCAGTAAATCGGAGCAAAGTCATGCGTGTAAGTCAGCGCTCTAAGCTGCAGTCATAAAGCGGGGCTTTCCACAGACGATGATCTAACAGAAGAAGCACTGTGTTTCTGACTTGCACGCTCTTTCATGGGATCCTGTGCAGTAATATCACAAAAACACTCTTAAATTTATGTAACCTTTCTTTTCTTTATTGAGCAGTAGTTGTAGCATTTAGAAGGCTGCACTCACTGCTATAAAATAAAGATCTTTCCTCTATTTATC